TGATTTAGTAATTTTCTGACGATCTCTCTTTTACTACCCTCATATAACCCCCTTACATTCCAAGAGAGAATCTTAACTCTCATTGATGACTAAGAGATAGAATTCTCCCGCTGGACCTTGGTTCTCCATCCTTGAAATTCATGTCGAAAAATAAGTTTCTGACCTCTTTCAGTACCATATTGCTTGTATTTATGACCATCTGGTTCTCCCCCAATCTCTTATCCTCTTCTCTCCTCTGGTCTAGCGTCATCAACAAAGTATAAGTTTCCCTTTTGCTTCCCTTGAGATCAACTCCGAAGTGCTGACTCAATTTCACCATGTTCGATTGGACCCCATGCAGTTGCACTTGCTGCTAAACTTTCCTCATGTGACCTGCTATCAATCTGTAAAGGTACTGGATCCACCTCAGAGTACATCAATGCTAATGTATCTGAGAAATCTTCTTCCTCCTCTGTCCTATGTTTTTGTTGTTCTGAATCAAGTTGCTCTAACAAATTGAAGAACCATTTGCTCACATTTAAAAAAAAATAATGATGGGGTCTGGGCTGAAAGGCCAAGCATCTCGGTAAATCCACGTCACTTCAACTCTTTGCTATGTCGCCCCCTTGGAGCAACCATCTCCTCACAATTCCACTTAATTTTTTATAGTTGGTACAATTCCACTTAATTGTTTTTAGTTGGTACAACTCCACTTAATTCTAAATAACAAAGTAGAAAACTTTTCTAACATTGGCAAAGGTGGGAGCTGAAGACCATAGAAAAGTTGCAAGGTTTGTTGCAATTTCAGCTTTGGTAAAGAAAGTGCTACCTGAGTGAGGCAAAGTGGCCAGCCTAAGATGCACCTAGCTTCAGGGTTAGGGTGATCCTTGAGCAAGCATAACAAGAATGATTGTTCATATTAGAGATACCATATCATTTGCGACCAACAATTCTGTAACAACACCATTTTAAAACCACTTATATGATACTACTAATATTTCAGCAATGCCTTATACTCTATCATTGATGTGGATACTACCTCTCTAATTGTACACAAATTTATCCCCCCAAAAAAATGCTTCTAGGAGACAGAAACACCCATTTTATGGAACTTATTCGCTGAATTAAGGATTTGAAAGCACAATATTTCTCCCTACGCATCTTTTTTTCCATCAAAAACAGGACGACAAAAGCACCAACTTCCCCCTTTGTGATCAAATTCAGTGTGACCCCAATATCAAAATTTCATTGACAATTTCTTCCTCTTCTCCCAACACTCACCCATTCACTTCTACCTTGTCGATATGAATAGTTCTCTTGAATGCATTAGCCATTTTTGGAGTGAGATTATAGAATTTATAAACCGCAATTAGTATTACCTATACATTTATTTGTCACTAAAAGTTATGAAAAAAGATGAAGTAGGAGTATCAATCAAATTAGATGGGAACAAAAATCTTATTTTAAAAGCTAAAACTGAAAATATGGGATATTAGTAAAGACAAAATATTACATTTTTCAGGGACAAAATTAGAAGCTGAAACCTAAGAATCATCATTAAAATTACATTCACGCAGTTGGACAAAAAAATAAAAAAGGCAAGGAAGCCGAAAAAGGGAAATGAACCATCTTTACATAAGCTATTGCCACTAGCGGATGAAACAGTTGCCCAATCAAATGAAAAATAATTTAAAAAATGAAACAATAAAGAGAAGAATTGATGTATAATAGAAGGCACACCTTATTACAGGGTGAGTAGCAAAGATTGGAGTCGTCAGAGAAGATAGTATCAGAGTCCACAGTTGCTGCAACAGGAAACAGTCATAAAGAAAGTTTTTTTTTGAGAATGGTAAATGTACATACATTTCCTTTTTTAGAAAAATGACCTTTAGATTAATGTCATTAATTCACTTTCTTACGGGGGGTAACACACTCCCGAAAATTCATTTTTTTTGGACCGAAGAGAGTAATAATGATTGAAAAACAAAAAGATAATTTTTAACAAGTCTTCCTCTTAAATTTCTTATACCAAGAAAGTATAATGTATTCTACTTAATTGCTCAATCATTTCATATATGCCGAGTTATTTCATCACTTAGATGCACATATATTAATTTGGGTGAGCTTATTAATTGAAAACAAAAGCTCCAGGACATACGACACCACTCATGTATGTGCACAATAATTCTCTGTATCTTTCTTCCGCCTACATCCATATCTGATTAGCAAAGTGTTCAAATCAAACTGATTACAATCAATATAATTAGCAGGTTGAGATTAACCAAGTGAAGTTTAATACCCTGGTCTCACTCAAAGTTCAACAGAGTCTAGACTGAGGTATTCAGTTCAAAGCTCAAGCATTACATAAGTGGCAAGAGCTAGCATGACAACACAACTTCAAAACAAACTACAATAAGCGAAACATCATGTTTAACTATTTTCAGCAACTGCCTAATCCCACATTTTGGCTTAAGAAATTACCCATAAAGCCTTTAGACTTCACCAAATTTAAGTGTGGCAAATTATCAAATACCTTGTGAGCGCATATCAACAAGTATATTCCCAAATGTGCAGAAAATATAGTTGATAAGCCAACTAGAACAATCATCACTGATAAATACGCAACACACTTCACAAAACAAATCCACCATTGACACTAGAATTTTGCATTCAATTCACATCAGCAAGGGATTGGGGATTTAGGACGGGATCACGAGGGAGAATCATGGCAAGGAGAGACTTACGTGAAGTTAGGCAAACAAGTATCCGATGCCAGAAATCAGCAGAGTGCAGTTAGATCGAATGGGGGAAATAGGACGGGGTTGTGCTTTTTATTTTTTAAGGAAAACTCAAACTCAAATGGGTAAGAGCCTATTTAGATGACTTTTTTTAAAACTATTTTTAAGTCAAAATAGTTTTTAATTATATTTATAGTATTTTGATGTTTTTAAACATTAATTTTAAGTCAAAATAATAAAAAAAATTAAAAGTATTTAGACACACGTAATAATATAAATTAGATGAGAATTGTACGTGTTGAGCACAAGCTCAACAAATTAGATCCTGATTCATTTTATTTTTACCCACTGAAGTAATTTCTTTTTTACTCGAAAAAAAGTAAATGTCACACCCCAATTTAGAAATGTAATTGATCCCTAGTGTCATATTTGATTCTGAATCGCTTCTTGCTTGATAAATAAGTTATTAGTGTAATACTAGTCATAAAATCAAGAAAATAAATAAGTATATATCGACTTAAAATAAACATGTGGCTGACAAGCCCCTATAAACATAATTTGAAGTGAACTCAATGAATACCTTCAATTCATATAGAACATTAACTAAATCTTGTGTGAGTTGTCGAGGCCACCATGATATCTAAAAACATATATACATATACGATTACATGTCATTGTTCTAGAAGGGCAAAATAGCAGGGCCAACACGATCGACAATGCACATATATACAACCCAAAGTCTACAAGCCTCAAGGAGTAATATACTTGGTCAGGACAGGACACCGACCTACTATCAGTTGTACGTCAAAAGATTGTTAAACCTTTGAACATGGTAACTTCGAATGGAGTGAAGCTTACTAATTTACTACAAACTCAACCACACTACCACAAACTTTTTGTACCTTTCTTAAAGAACCTGCAAACAAGTATGCAGCGCTTCCACGCAATGGAACGTTAGTACGAAATAGTGTACTGAATATGCAATATGCAAGAAAACTAAATAACTGGTCATGTATCATGCAATGTTGATAAAAAATCAAAAAAAAAGAGTCGAAGGTGCAGATTAGTACGCTCAGTTTATCTTCGACTCTTTTTTTTTTTTTTGAGAAAAGGGTAACCTTGTATTCACACCAAAAGATTCATCATCCAAAAAATGATGAATTGGAAACTTACATCCCACATAGGGTATTCTTTACAAGTTTCCTATAAAATCAACTAATTCTATTATATCTCCCCTATCAGATTTTGTTTACACCAAAAAAATAAAAGGCTTATACAATTCATCCTAATTTTCTGTAAGTTAGTTTTTTGTCCATCAAAGCACCTTGAGTTCCTTTCTTTCCAAAGAGTCCACCATATGCATGTTGGGATTGTTCTCCACCAGAATTTTTTCTTCCTCTGTTGTCAATACCTTTCCAACTTCTTAGGAGTTCCATTGTCGTGTTAGGCATAACCCACTTAACTCCTAACAAACAAAAGAACATGTTCCATAGGCTCAAAATTGCCTTACAGTGAAGGAATAGATGATCATTGATTTCTTTGTCCTGCTCACACATGACACATCTTGATCAAATCTGCCAGCCCCTTTTCTGTAAAGCCTCATGAGTTAGGCATGCCTTTCTACATACCAACCAAGTAAAACAAGCCACCCTTGGAGGGAATTTGGTCTTCCAAACTAGCTTCCAAGGCCATTTGTCTAGCTTTGTCTGTAGTGTGTTAAGGTTCCAATAACATGATTTCACTGTGAACACCCCCTTGTTGTGTCGTTTTCTTCTAGGTTTGTCATGTCTCACAGATAGAGATGGATGTGAGTTTAGAACTTCCAAGAAATTGTCAACTTCTCCAATTTCCCAGTCATTAAATGCTCTTCTAAATAAGAGATTCCAACCCTGTTGGCTCCAAACTTGGGCTACCTTGGCATTCCTTTGAAGACTTAAGGTATAAAGGTGTGGAAAAGAGTTTCTAAGAGTATCTTCTCCAATCCACACCTCATTCCAAAAGTCAGTTTTTAAACCATTACCCAAAGTGATTGAGATGTTATTGCTGAATTGGGGCCACAGTCTTCTTATGGTTTTCCAGACACTACACCCAATGGTTCCCACAACTTCCTCAGTTGTCCATTGAGTAAATAAACCATAATTCCCTGCTATAAATCTTCTCTAGATGGCTCCCTCTTCTGAGCAGAACCTCCAAAGCCATTTTTGCAAAAGAGAAATGTTCTGTTTTTTGAGGTTCTTCAAACTAAGCCCCTCTTGCTGATGTTGAGGGTCAAAACATCCCATTTCACCAGATTGTAGCCTCTCTTCTCCTTGTTTCCTTGCCATAAATGGACCTTCTCACCCTGTTTAATCTTTTCTCAATGCTCTTTGGTATTGGGAAAAGGCTCATCATGTATGTTGGGAGGCCATCCAGTACTGACTTGATGAGAGTCAATCTACCCCCTAATGATAGACATTGACTTTTCCACCTGGATAATTTTTTCTCACACCTTTCCATCACCCCACTCCACACTTCTAGTTCTTTATTTTTGGCACTTAATGGCAACCCCAAATATTTAGTTGGTAAGGGGTCCACTTGACAACCCAAAATAGCAGCCAACTCTTGCAAATTCCCAACCTGGTTGATAGGGAGGATGTGGCTTTTCAACCCGTTTACATGAAGACCTGAGAGTCATTCAAAAATAGTTAGGATGGCTCTTAGATGCCTGATATGACTTGACTCTGCTTCACAGAAAATTAAGGCATCATCTACATATAACAGATGTGATACTTCCAGATCTTCCCCTCTTCCTGACTGAGCACTGAAACCTTTCACCCATCTATTTGCATTTGCTATCCTGAACATGTGATTTAGACCTTCCATAGCTTGCAAAAATAGGAAAGGTGTCATGGTGTCACGACCCAGACCGTCGTGATTGGCACCCACACTAACCCTCCGGTGGGAGAACCACTAATACAACCCAAACCAAGCAACTAAACAAAAAACTAAAGCATTTAAGGATACGAAAATAGGAATAATACTAAGCAAAGAAATAGGAAGTTTCCATAAACTCCAACAAAAATCTAACAACTAAACAAATGCGGAAGAAATAACCTAGAACCTGAAAGTCAATGTACCAAAACATCTAAAGTTCAACTAGTCTAAACAAGAATAGATACAGCCCCAAACTAATGCACTAATAACTAACTAGAAAGTCTAAGTTCGAAATGGTGGACATAGACGAAAGAGAACCCATGGCAGCCCAGAAGAATTGACTCACCTTTGAATTAAAATGATCAATGATCTTTTAAGTGAGGTGTGTCAATAGCTGCCGGAAGATGCCTTGTACTCAACAAAAATAAGAGAAAGTGCAGTATCATTACACAACCACATTGTTCTGGTAGTATCACGTGGCTATCCCACTAAGTGTAACATAAGCAAGTCAATACAACATTATAAACACATGCATATATCGAACATATACAATATTATCAACATTTATGAACAATGAACAACTTCACATTTCTCAAGTTACACAATTATGGCAAGTCATTGGTCCTCTCAAGGAACCCAAACCCAAACAGTTAGCATACCAAAACGCGGTACCCGATCCAATGTTTATGCCAAAACGTGGCAACCGATCCCAATTAGTTATGCCGAAATGTGGCAACCGATCTATTCAACACACCACAATCACAATCACAAGTATCTTCTCAAGTTCATACAATTTAGTCATGATTCATGGCATTCATCATTCCTTTATCTCATTTACAACAAGCGTGATCAATAATGCAACATTCACATACATACATTTATCATAATGAAGCAAGAACACACATACATCACACAATCATAGAATCACAACCATCACTTACCTCGAAACAAGTTTGAAACCCTAATAAACGTGATCCTTCCCTTTCTGGATTCGTTTCGCTTGTTCTTGGTCTACAAACAATCATAATAACACGGGAATCAATAAACAATCACTAATTACTCGGATTACTAACAATTCTAACAACCCTAGATCATACTCATGATCCCAAGCATCCAAAATAGGGATTTTTCCACCATGGTTTCCAATTTCAAAACCCTCCCCTATCGATAATTACCCATTCCATTATGTTCTACGGATCGAAAAACAGATTCAGGGAGTGAAAAGCTTACCTTTAGCCTCAAGAATGGTGGAAAACTATCAAGAGTCGCCTGGGGTTCGTTCCTTAGCTCTAAAAATTGAAAAGTGCAGATTAAAGTCGTTTAGGGGTTTATTTACGACTTTAAGTCGTGTCTGGCCCACCACATTGACCCTCACCCCGCTTCAACGGCACCGCCAGAGTGACCAAAATCATCGCCAAAGCGGCTTGCACAAAATAGTGAGCTATTTTAATAATTCCAAGACCCACATTTCACAACACAACTTTAATCGACGACACTCAGAAAATATCGTTCACGCTAAGATTTATTTCGGGAGTTCTACTCACCCGAATTCAATTTCGTAAAGTCGTACGAATTCCTTAACGACTTACCTAACTACTCATGCAATCAAAATCATAATTAAATCACCCGATTGCTACTATATTTCCCTACACCTCAACGGCTCTGATTTCGTCCAAATCTGGACTAGGTTGGAAAATTCCAAGTTACTATGAAAAGTTTTCCGACCCAAAATTTTTCCCCGTTAACTTTTCTATAACGACGAAACCCGGTCGTTACAATAGATACCAATTTACCCATCATTCGTCTCTGAGCGACAAACTTAGGAAAATAGGCTAAGGAAGGAATGAAGTAGTACCTGAATCGACGAACAATTGAGGATACTTGTCTCGCATGTCCCTTTCGGTTTCCCAAATAGCTTCCTCAACTGGACGATGCTTCCATTGAACTTTCACGGACTTAATCTCTTTGATCCTCAACTTACGCACATCACGATTACGAATTGCAATCGGTTCCTCCTCATATTGGAGGTCTTTGTCTAACACAATTGAGTCCCATTTAATGATGTAATCCTCGTCACCATGATATCTCTTCAACATGGAGACATGAAATACCGGATAAACACCCGATAAATTAGGAGGTAAAGCCAATCTATATGCTACCGGTCCCACACACTCGAGAACCTTAAAGGGATCAATGTATCGCAGACTTAGCTTACCTTTCTTGCCGAATCTGATCACCCCTTTCATGGGTGATACCTTAAGAAGAACATTTTCACCGATTTGAAATGTCATGTCTCTTACCTTATGATCTGCATACTTCTTATGTCTACTATGGGCTACTAGAACCTTAGCTTGAATACTCATCACCTTATCTTGAGCATCCTTCATTAAATCAACCCCCAAAGGTTTCACATCCCCAACCTAGAACCATCCTATGGGTGATCTACATCCCCTCCCATAGAGTGCCTCAAATGGTGCCATATCAATGCCGGAGTGATAACTATTATTATAAGAGAATTCACACAAAGGTAAGAACTTATCCCAATGCCCTCCAAAATCAATCACATATGCCCTCAACATGTCTTTTAACACTTGAATAGTCCTCTCTGACTACCCGTCTCTCTGTGGATGGAAAGTTGTACTAAAATTGAGTTGTGTGCCCAATTCATCATGTAACTTCCTCCAAAACTTGGATGTGAATTGGGTGCCACGGTCTAAGATGATAGAGAGGGGCACCCCATGCAACCTCACTATCTCTTTCACATACACCTTAGCCAATTGTTCAGTATTATAATCTATTCTTATTGGAATAAAATGGGCTGACTTAGTCAATCTATCAACCACTACCCAAATAGAATCAAACTTCCCCAAAAGTCTTGGGAAGACCTACCACAAAATCCATGGCCATCCTTTCCCACTTCCATTCCAGAATTGACATTCTTTTAGCAAACTTGCAGGCCTTTGATGTTCATACTTCACTTGTTGGCAATTGATAACGTTCAAATATACTTCTTGAAAAGAAATATAAACGATCGTATGCAATATATTTACCCAACTATGAGTCGGGGTCGATCCCACAGAGAATATGGAAGAATATTATCAATAGTAAATATTTAACTCGATAGTCGTTATAAAAATGGGGGATTTAAATTGAAATAAAATAAAATAAAAATAATAAAAAGATAGCTTTGAACTAAGTATTTATTTATATTCAGATTATGAAAAGTAACTACGATTGTGTTCCCCATAAGCTCATAACGCAGTAATTCTAATAATAGTAATCCTTTTCTAGTGTATTACATGCAAAGTGATAAGTTAGGTATCTCTAAATCCTTGGTCCGACATCTAGAGAATTTCACCCCGCACCTTGGTCCGGCTACGTGTGTATAATTTACTAACCCTTACCTTTACCTCATATTAGACATCATAATCGATGTTTGGCTTAGTTATTACTTCGCACCAATCGACACTAGCCTATTAGATAGTATCACACTAAATCTATGTTGATAATTCTTTTCTTGTTAATTACCTCCTTGGTCCGGCAAGTAGTAACAAGGCGAGTTCTAACGTTGGCCATCGTTAAAAAGACTTCTAAACGAAAGAATTATCAATGCATGCAAAATACTAGTCAAGAATTGCTTATTTACTATTCATACTTTGTTAATCGCTCATGGTTCCCACAACCCTAGTTATGAAAGTTAGCTACTCATTATCTCAAAAAACACAATCAAAATTTATTAAAATAAATATGTTTGTGTTAATCATAAAAAGTTAAGAACAATAGCTAAACTATATTTTATTAATCACGAATACAAATAAATAATAAAGGAGAAGAAAGAATAAACCACAATTCTCCGGCCTCCACGGCGGCTCTTCCAAAGTTCCTAAGCTAGAAGAAAATTTATATTGTATCTTGTATCTTGGTTCTTGGTTCTTGGCTCCCTCAAGAATAACTTTTCATGCCCTATTTATAGATATAGAAACCCTAAATAAAATAATTGAGTCCATCTTAAATTAGGAAATCAAAACCAAAAGGAATCGAATTCCTTTTTATTTTCGGTGAAGCTGTCCGCGTCAATTTTCTTTTGCTGTTGTAGCCTTCCATTGTGAGACGTGTACAGTAGAGGTAAATTGAAAATTTCCAATTGCTGCCGCCTTTCCTTATATACATAAATATATTATTTTATTCAATTTAATCCATTAAGTTGTCTGCTTGATTTCCTTCTTCAACCTTCCATCTTTAATTCGTTTTAGCTCCAAATTTCTTTAGTTTTCCACCAATTTAATCCTACAAATAAAATATACCATTTAACACAATTCATAAAATTCATGCTCATAAAGGACATATATAAATAATAAATGTGAGGAAATAATGATTAAAAATATGTATTTTTAGTCTCACATCAACACCCACACTTAAACTTTTGTTCGTCCTCGAGCAAACACTAAAACTCATCCCAAAAAAAAATCATACTAGCAATGTCATCACTTTGGTTAATACAAACAATTATGTCATATACCAATTTCAAAATATCAAGTAGACTTCTCAATCATTATGCAAGTCATCCAAATAAACAACAAACCTCCTAACCTCCTAACTTCGAGGAAGGACTTTGAACTCATCAAATTTAAGTTTTCTCTCCTACTCTCATCAAAGAAAGTTAATAACATCACCTATCTATCATGAAACAAGTGCCCTCACAAGAAGAAATAGTCCACACACTTGAATCAACAGATTGAATATAAATTAAGGACTTGGCATCAAAGAACACTCTCACACTCACAAAGAAAATTCACATGTATGCACAAAGAACCATATGCTTGCCCATTATGTACATCTCCACTAATTAAGCATGCTTGAATAGAATCAAATAGGACTTTAATGGATTGTACTGTAGGCTAGGGGATGGGTAGGAAAACTATATAATAGTGACTTACACTTCCTTAAGC